TCCTTCCCCAACCCAAAGATCCTAAAATTATAGACCATCCCATTTACTCTGTCCTTGATTACCTTCAGCCTAAGATAGCCTAATTGTGCACGCCCACCTTTTAGACCCACGAGCCGCCCCTGCAATAAAGCTAAATAAATTCTGCCTTATCTCGCCCAACAGTACCCGTATTTCGTTTCAATTAGATGCCGATTGCTGAAGATTAGCATTTTGACACTTTCTTTTTACAAATTAGTTCCACTCTAGATTAGCGACTGAAATTATGTAAATAATTTCCTGGAAGTGTTGAGTGTTGCGATTTCAAAATCAAGATTACTCATATAATAGATAACCTACAGTCTAAATTCTTTCCCGAGATTTCGTCACTAAATATAAGGAGGCTTTCAAGAATATCAGTTCATCTGTTCTTGTTCTTTTGGCAGCAGGAAGTAGAACACACGAATGTAATCTCCAGGTACATGTACTTTAGAATGGACTAGCTGGGCCCCCTTTCGATGAAAGGAATGATCGGTGCATTAACATCAACTGAAAGTCATTGGCCTACTATATTTACACTCTACTGGAATGGAGCAATAAATCTTGAGAGATGCAAAAAAAATAGAAGGTCTAGATCTAGATCTATATTTTCATAACAAAATGCGCCTCGCAAAATATCACTTCCGCACCGGATTTTCTAAAATTGCAGAGACAGAAGTGTCGGCCTACAAAAGCGATCGGCGAAATAAAGAAATTTAGCTTTTTGCAGCGAAACTGTCTCAGAACTGAAAAACGAAGGGCGTCATGATCTGGAGAACATTTTAAAGAATCTTTTGGCGACAACCGCATGTCCATCGATGCAGCCATTAAAAGGCCTTTTGTATAGCAAAATTCGGCCCCACAAATAGATAATAGAAGCTGAAAAGCTGATAAAAGAACTATGGGCTGGACTAATTGAAGTCTGTATCAAGCCTGATCATAATGACTTTGCTGTGAACAGAAAAAATTATGCCACGAGGAACTTAAAAACATTTGGTTTCAACAGTACTATTACATTAATGTGTATCTTCAAACGAAGTTGAGCGTCTCAGAAGCTTAAAAAGTTCTCAGTTGGTTTTTGAGGGCTTTTGCTTGTTAGTTGTTTGTTTTGGTTGTTGTTGTTTGTTTATTTGAGGGGGGATGTCTGTTTCTGTACAGGATAGCCGTACATGTTTTATGGCACTAAAATGCCCTAGAGCAGCGTGGCGAATAAGCAAATAATAATGTGAAGATGAACGAGACAGTTTGAAGATTCTTAACGTTGACACTGAAGGGAGAAATGTTGACCCAGCACTTCAATACTTTCATATAAAACGTATGGGGATAGAAACGTTGACTTTTTAGGTGGAATAAAGCGTCCTTGCAGGCAGACGGAGTTTTCGAGAAAATTTGTTACGACTCCGTGGAATCGGGCGCTCGTCAGTTTTTGGACATATGGAATTATTGGTATGATCTTAAAGCTTGTTTATTTGTCTCGCTTTTAATTTTAAAATATCAATCTAATCTACATTGAATAAAAGTCAAAATATTTGGGATTGAATGAGATGTGGTATTGCCTGTATAAGCGATCAAATTAGGGAGAAAACGGCCATCAACGTATAGTAAATTCCAAAACTTGAATGTCCCTGAAAACTATAACTTGACATTTTTTGTTCCTTTAGTCGTTGTTTTTCAGTTAAATCCAGCTAGAAATGTGTTTCTAAAGTTACATAAAGGCTTTTGAGCCCTAAATCGAAAATTCTATAAAAATTGCAAACCGGCTGGAAAATGCCAGTTTCTTCCACTTTATTATTTTGAAAATCTCCTGATTTCACCACGATGCCCCACAAATGACTTCCCCAAACGGGAATCGAGCTCACGTCTTCCCACGTGAAACAGCGAAGGACATATTATAACCAGAACAGCACACATGCTAGTAAACAGGGAAAGATCCCATGTACATGGGATGACGTATATAGATGGAAGACACATGTATGTGATACTTGTAAACACGTACAAACACATACACATACACACATGCACACAAACACCCC